AGAATCTTTATTATAAATCTTCAATATATGTTTTCTTATCTCATCTATACGTAAATTTGACACAAAAGAATTAAACGCAAATTTAAATCGTAATGATTGTTTTTGTTATAATTATATTGACAGTATTATGATGCATTAGCGCGCCATCTGTTATGAAATTATATATTTATAAATGTATGCAATTCTACTGTCCTCAAAGCTTATGTCCATAGTTTATCTAAAATACCCATTCCAAGAGTCTATCAACAGTATCACTATAAAAGGAAGATCGAAAAATTCAATATAACAGCGGTATGGTAGATTAAATTTGCGAAACCGTTGGGAGGGTTGACCACTGATGAGCCAGGCCCTCCCATTAAATTTTTCCATTGCAGTAAGGGCAGTAGAAATTGTTTAATTTTCAAAAAGAATATTAACGCGTTTAAAATAGTTCAAATATTATTAGTATATTTGTGAATATACTTGAATATTTAATTAAAAAGGCATATATTGGAACAAAATATAATTTATTTTACCAATATTTCAGTTGGCTGAACACCAACCTTTATCAAAGTGTTAAAACATTTTAAAGTGTGTCAACAACTTAATGCTGTTGACGCTATGTGGCGCTGAGTTTGTTGTTGACACACTTTAAAATGTTTAACACCTTGATAAAGGTTGGCGTTCATCCAACTGAAATATTGGTAAAATAAATGATATTTTGATCCAATATATGCCTTTTTAATTAAATATTTAATAATGGATTGCTCTATTTTCAAAATACATGAATATTCGTGTAAGTATGCTTGTATTTTCAATAGAATTGTAGAATATAGAATAGAAGTGTATTAAACCCAAACGATTATATACAGAAGAAGGCAATAGGCACCGTATTAGTGGGACGTTTTAGATTGATGGAAAGAAATACCCTGGGGAAATTTCTAGAAATATCGACCAGATGATCGAATAGTAAAATATCTGATTGGTCACCCGGGAACTGCCATTTCAAACGATAAACAATTTATTTATAAGAATCAACTTAGTGTGCTAATTTTAAATGGAAATCAAGTTGTAGAAACGATCTGTTCGAAATGAGAGTTAATTAGGGGGTTGATTCCTTTTGTTAAAAGGAGCTCAACCTTTTGTTAATGTGACATTGGAAAGGGATCCGCCTTTATCGAATATTTTAAATTGTGGAAGTCATTTCTTTTGATAAAACTATTCCATTTTTTCCTCTCTCTCTCTCTCTGTGATATATTATTTTTTGGAATAATAATAATTTTAAAAATAAATTGAATATTTTTCTTTTTTTTCTGTGAGACCAAAATATGACTGAAAAAGGGCCAATTTTCAATTTAAAATAAAGAAAATTATTTCGGGGCTTGTTTAAAATTTTTTTTTCTTCTTCAAAGATTGACTTGGTCTATTATTTTCAAAATTAGGCCGTCTACCTCTTAATATAATAAATTTGATGGAAAGTATTTTATTGAATGGAAGGAAATGATGATGTCTAAATTATTTAGAAGAAAGTTTTAACTTAAATTTGCATCATAAATATAAATTTCGAGCATTAATAAAAAAATAAAATTTGTGTAAAAAGAAACTAAGTTTAATGAAGACGCTTTCATCATATAATAATCCTTTATCATTGTATAAATATAGATATTGAAAATCGAAAAGGTATATTCTGACCTCTCACATGAGCATTTCAGATGGCAAAGCGCCATCTAGTTGAATAAAAGGGCTATTGGCCCTCGTCAGCGTAGTGCAGGCTAAATATAATGTAACTATTTTTTAAAATGTTTAGTTGATATTTATTCAACTATATGGCGCTCTGCAAATCTAAAAAACGCTCTTTAGTGGTAAGGGGAGATGCCTAATTTGTTTTCAATACCAACACCTGATATTTTGAAAATTTGTTTTTTCACATAGATATAAGTATTGTGTTGAAAATATAGAGGAATCCATAAAAAAATCTTCAATTAAAAAGGCATATATTGGATCAAAATATAATTTATTTTACCAATATTTCAGTTGGCTGAACGCCAACCCTTTTTAAGGTATTATAACATATTAATGTGTGTCAACAACAATAATATGTTATAATACATTGAAAAATGTTGGCGTTCAGCCAATTGAAATATTGGTAAAATAAATTATATTTTGATCCAATATATGCCTTTTTTAATTGAAGATCTATGTATGTATATACCTTTATGGGCGGACATATAACAACAGTTATTATTATTACTTTTCCTAATTTTATTAATTTTTCATTATAAAATATTTTTATTAATTATCCTTGTCACACGTTTGATGAGCTTCACTTTCCCGCTGCTGAATTGGAATTTTGATGAGGTTTTCCAATACTGTATCTTGTCAATTTTATCTTTGTCTCGAGTGAATCCTTTTTTTTTATTCACATTGTTTATGTATCAAAAATGGAGAATCATATTCTAGTAATAACCTTTCTTGTTTGACAGGGATATAAAATAATATTCTCATGGGTAAAACTTGATGAAGTTGTACCTTTCAGCATGTATATCAAGATTCAGGCAATAACTCTGAAAGATATTTGATACACAGTGACCTTTATTGAAGACACCCGAGATAACCAAGTTTGAATAAAATTGCATGTCTCATTCAAAAACAGACGACTGGTGACCACAAAGACTTTCCAATTTGATTAATAAAAATTGAAAAATAGAAGAAGCATGGTGACATTCGATCGAACCAATAAAGAGATGTTTGCTATTTTATTGGTTTTTAATATTTATAATCGATGGAACAGATATTTCCTTGATATTCTACAAAGGAACTCTAAATGGTTCAATCGAGATTGAAAAGAATTGGTACTAAGCTGGGTATTGTCAAAAGCAAACCTGTTGATAGTTTCGGTCTTATTACTTTGCTATATTAAACTTATCTCATAAACTTTGGAGCAAATAAATTGAAAAAGAAAAAAGAAAATATAGTATTCAGTATGTTGCGCGTAGGCGATTCTTACTATAATTACAATCGACACTGTGGGTTTTAAATGAACAAAAAGGGTTTTATATCGTTTGAGTGGAATTGTCGGAATCGTGTTCAAAAAAAATAAATAAAAAGGTCAAGTGTTGCTATTAAAAATAAAGAAGGCATATCCTGACCAGGAGCACATATGCTTTTTAGATGGCAGAGCGCCATCTAGTAGAACAGAAATAAACAAAACATTTATTTAGCCTGTTCCCAGATATTTGGCCAATCAAGAAAAGCCATCCACGAACACGTTTCGCGCTGTTGGCGCTCCAACGTCAGCGTCGAGCAGGCTGTACCACAACAACCAAAATCTTTTGGTTCCAAAGGCTTCTTGAGAAACCAAGAAATATTAAGCCTATTTACACAAGTTTGGCCTAAAATATCCATTTCTTCAATTCCACACATATGCTTCCACTCTGTCTATTCTTTCTTTACAAATTTCACAACTAATATTTTTATATTTTCGATTCAACATTGGAGTAATATAGAAGAAGAAACACAAGTTGGAAAAAATAGCTTCTTTTATAAGAAGACAATCGTAAAAGCTTTCGGGAAAGAAGTCCTTCTACTGGTACAAAATGATAGGAGTAGCAATGGATTATATCTGTATACACTTTCAGGATTATTCTTCTACATAATTTTTTTTAAATTCCATGTTATATCTTTCATGGAAGTGTATATATATATATAAAATATTGCCGCTCGTGTAATTGTGTACCCTTAGGAGGGCTTCTAGACTGAAAGCGTTCTCTTACGTTCTCTTATAAATGAAGTTTGTCTTCCTGACTTGTGTTTCTTCTTCTATAAGTAATATAATATGAGGTTTCAAATTGTTATATTTTGGTATGATTAATATTATTTATCAAAATCCGAAACTATTATAGACGCGTATGATTCTTTTTAAAAATAAACAATTTCTACTGCCTTTACTGCAATGGAATAATAAAATAAGGACAGTAGCATTGTTTATTTTCAAAAAGAATCATACGCGTCTATAATAGTTTTGAATTTTGATAACAGATGGCTCGCTAATGCATCATAATATTATTTATCACATTGCCATCTTCTTGCTGCGTCTCGTCTTGTCGAGCGTCAATGGCGACAGACCTTCAGGAACTACCATGTCAAAGACGAATTATAACTAACCGAAGAAATCATCTGAATACATATTAAATATTAAAATGTATATTAAAAATAAAAATAATCATATTCTGACCTGCTCACATGAGCTTTTTCAGATAACAGAGTTTCATCTTTTCGAACAGAAATCAATTAATTATTCATTTAACCTGTTCCAATGATATTTATCCAATCTATTTTCTTGATAAATCAATGACAACCAAACACCAACGCGTCGGGTTATTGCCCCCTGTCAGCGTGATTCAGGCTTTTATTCGTTTTTTGTTATTAAAATAAATATATTTTCATATACCATATAATATTTAATTTAAAAGGCATATATTGAATCGAAATATCATTTATTTCACCAATATTTGAGTTGGCTAAACGCAAATTTTTATCAAGTTATTATAACATATTAATGCGTGTCAAGAACATGCCTTGATAAAGTTTGGCGTTCAGCCAACTAAAATAATGGTAAAATAAATTATTTTTCAATACAATATATGCCTTTTTAATTAATTATATATTTATGGATTTCTCTATTTTCAAAACGATACCATGTAATATTGTTTGAAATCTCCCCAGTTTAATATGATTTAGTAGAGAATCACTTAATACATATCATCTCTAAATAAAAGGGCATATATTGGATCAAAAAATAATTTATTTTACAAATATTTCAGTTGGCTGAACGCCAACCTTTATCAAGGTGTTATAACATATTAATGTGTAAAACGACATTTGAAAATTATACCGCATGTGTTTCGTTTCAACGAAAAATCAAAATTTATTTTAAGGCGAAATAACGATTATTTATAACCTTTGGGATGAGGTATGAAAGATGAATTGTGAAGAGTAATGATAAACGGAAAAATAAAAGTGTCCAGGGATGGGAATCGAACCCACAGTGTTCCGCTTACCGCGCAGATGACCATGTCCACTAGGCTACCCTGGACATATTTTTCCGTTTTTAAATAATACACAAAGTAATTTATGATACAATATAATATAATGCGGCTTGTGATTCCCTAAGGAATCCCTAAGGTTAGAAATAATCGTTTTTTCTCCTCAAAATAAATTTTGATTTTTCGTTGAAAATAAACACATGCGGTATAATTTTCAAATGTCGTTTTACAATCACAAGCCGCATTATATTATATCATATTAATGTGTGTCAACAACAAACTCAGCGCCACATAACGTCAACAGAATTAAGTTTTTAAAAAATTTTGCTCATATTCAAAACATATCATCTCTATTCAACCTCAATGATAATTTCTCTTTTAATTTGCTAGTTAGTGTGTTAGTTAATGCTGTAGCATAACGACATAGTTCTAATGGTTCTCTTAATTTCTTAGCATTAGTACTTGCCTGCCTGGAACTTTTCGCTAATGTGGAATCATTTAGTCCGAGTTAATCTTGAGTCTAATTTATCTGCCCACGTTGAGATTTTTGAAGTATACTTAAAACTGGCTTGAATTCTATACGAATGGTTATACCTGTGAATTTATAAAAGAAACCCAATTTCCTTTTCAAATATTTCGAGCGATTGCTCCCTCTTCACCAATTTATTGCGAAATAACTTTAAAGTAATTTCAATTACTAATTTACTTAGCATTTTGCGTAATGAATTGATAAAAAGAGGGCATTTCTTCGAAAACTTCGAAAAAATTGTTATCCTCTCAAAGATCAAGGTAAAACCGCTTTTAAAATTATAGAATCTTTACTTAAAATGGGTTGAATGTTTTTTATCATTACATTTTTTATCATACAGAGGGAACAAAACAGCAAACAAATTAGAACTTAGAATTAAATATTTACAAATTTACATGTATTATTCTTTAAACAAAAAGGCATATATTGGATACAAAAATCATTTATTTTACCAATATTTCAGTTGGCTAAACGTCAACCTTTAATAAGGTATTATAACATTTTAATGTGCTTACAGAGTTCATAAAATGTATATAGACGGCTGAGGTGTAAGAGTTAGGTCATTTGAATCAGGGAACAAACGATGTCTAACTTTTGCAAATTTCGGAAAGTTGTAGACGATCTAAAACAATGGACTAGACGACACAAGGAGATGAAGAGGATGGCGGAGGAAGTATGAAGAGACCGTGTGGCCCACCCTCAATAGAGGAAGACACTGAAGGAGGAAGATATGGAGAGACCATGTGGCCCACCCTCAGTAGAGGAAGGTATTGAAGGAGGGAGATATGGAGAGGGCATGTGGCCCACCCTCAGTAGAGGAAGGTATTAAAGGAGGGAGATATGGAGAGACCATGTGGCCCACCCTCAGTAGAGGAAGGCAATAAAAGAGGGAGATATGGGGAGGCCATGTGACCCACCCTCAGTAGAGGAAGGCATTGAAGGAGGAAGTATGAAGAGACCATGTGGCCCACCCTCAGTAGAGGAAGGTAAAAGTTGATTCCGTTTAGAGAAATAATCAAAACAGTACGTATCCGGTTTAGTTAGTTTTATTTAATTATTTTTGTTTTGTTATACTCTATCTTTTTTTTGAAAATGTGACTTATTTAGCCAGAGTAAAGAAATTGGCGTATGAACTCGGCGAGGTAGTACCGCCAGAGAGCAGGATCGTCGACTTAAAACGCCTTATCCTGAATAGTCAATCTTACGAAGAAGAATTCGCAAAGCAACTGTTGGAGACTCTGATCGAGGAACGGGAACAAACAGAACGAGCAGAACGGGAGCGAATGGAACAAACAGCACAAACAGAGCAAGCAGAACGAGCAGAACGGGAACGAAAAGAACAAATGGAATTCGAGCTCGAGAAGCTGCGCATCCAGACTATGCATGGAAACAACGATCCGTCTCGCGGTACCAGTAATAACGCACATTGCGAGATACGTAAACTGATGCCAAAGTACGAATCGAAGGACAGTGATTTGAGTTTTTATCTAATTATTTTCGAACGACAGGCAAAGCGACTAAGGTTGGATGAAGACCAATGGGCATTCAGTCTTCTAGGATTACTACCTTACGAAATGACGCAATTAATCGCTCGGGAGACAGAAGAACAAAGCGGCGATTATAGATTCGTGAAAAGGTTGCTCCTAAAACGGTACAAGTTGAGCCCCGAACAGTTCAGACAAAAATTCGAGAAGCACGATAAATCTCAAGAGGGTTCCTGGAGAGACTTCGCTTTCGAATTGCGAGGGTTTTTCAACGAATGGATCGAAGGAATGAACTTGGAAGATTTCGACGCTCTAAAGGATTTGTCCGTCACTAACCAGCTAAAGAAAAAGGTTCCAAATGTGCTGCGTAATCATCTCATTGACGATTGGACCAAGATAAACAACACAGATGTGTTGGCGGATAAACTGGACGAGTACGAAAATGTTCGCGCCGAGATGGGACCTCCGCATTGGAATTCGAAACACACCATACCACCGTCGTTTCAGCAGAAATCTGCGAGATTTCCCAACCGAAGCGAAGTTAAAGAGACTGAACAAGGAACGAATGTTTCGAGTAGAGAGGCTTCAAGGAACGAAATCAGTGAAAAGTATCCTAACACCTCGAGGAGAATGGTCGACCGTGCAATCAGAAACGACAAGGGAGAACCGATATTGGGGAAAATTTACAACCTGGTTTTTTAAAAAAAAGTTTTTGTTTGTTTCTCAGACAACAAATATAAATAAATAAACTGCATGTTCTGTACAGTCAAGGCACCCTAAGTAGATCAACGAGGGAGGTTAGACTGTGCCGTTCACCATAGACTCGTCCTGCGGTGCGACGGCCGCTTTGTCGTGGCGCGGAGGCTTGCCCCAAGATGGTGGCCGTGCCTCGCTGCCTCCGATGCTGTCGCCGGAGGCTCGGTTCTCTCCCTGCGGACATTCTGGAGTTGCGGCGGCCGTTGCGGCTTTTTTGGTGTTTCTGCCAGTGCTTCAACTGCAATCAGTTTGGAAACATTGCCAGAGACTGCCCAGTACCCAAGGCTACGTTGACATGCCGAGGATGCGGCCAAACGGGGCACAAGGAAAGAAATTGCACAAGACCCAAAGAAGGACTAAAAGTAGCCAACCTGGAAGTCGAAGGACTGAAGACTGTGCCGCCGGATGTATATTTGAAGGACGCCAAGATCGACAACAAGGAGACCGTGAAGGCAATGATAGACACCGAGAGCAGCAGTTGCCTATTAAGAGAATCGGTCGCAAGGAGGAGCAACGTCGACATCGATCCAGACTCGACTAGTTTGTACGGCATCGGTAACCAGACCGTACCAGCTGCCAGGACCGTTGGGAAGACGACAGTTGACCTGGAGATTGATGGCGTCGTCGGAAAAGAAATCGCTGTATTCATTTTTAACGATGATGCCCAACCTTATGACCTACTAATTGGAAGAACATGGACAGATCTGCCCTACGTATCCTTCGCCAGAATCGGTAAGGAACTGCATATTGGCTATTCAACCGAATATCCGTTTGCTAATCTGCAAGAAGAAATCAAGTCGCGTCGCGTTGAACTGAGGGCAACCGAGACTGTTCAGTTGGGAAGCGACTGCATTAACTTTGCAAGTGCAATCACAGACGAGGTAAGGGACGGCTACGTATTGTTCACAGGAGTAGACGACTGTGTCAATTCTCTATTGGAAGTGGTCGATGGAAAGACGACCGTACCCATCATCTCAGTTGGCAAGGGCAACTTGAGAGTAAAGAAAAACCAATGTATAGGTCGAGTTGAACTGCTGAGCCCTGATGACATTGTTGTTAACCTGGACGTTTCAGAGGATTCGTTTCAGACTAAAGGTGAAGAGAAGAGGGAAGGACAGGACCAAATGAAACGAAAGCGCCCCATACTGCCTGAGGACGTCAACATCAATCATTCTCTGACTCCGAAAGAGAGACAAGAAACCCTCGACGTAGTGAATGAATATAGAGACTGGTTCGCTCTTGGTATGGGTGAATTAGGGTGCACCGATGTCACCAAGATGGACATTAAAGAGATTGATGGAAGCAAGCCAGTCTGTCTAAGACCGTACAAGACGACTGCGAGTGAACGCGAAGCAATCAGGGAGATTGTCAGAGAGTGGAAGGACAATGGAATAGTCACGGAAACTAGATCACCCTACGCTAGTTCCGTCCTACTTGTGAGAAAGAAAACTGGAAATCATCGTTTGGTGGTGGATTATAGGAGACCCTGAATTGAGAGACCTGATCCAGATCTTCCGAAAGGACCCGTGTGATAGAACAGTAGGAGAACAAAATATAATTAACGACTACAGCTACAAAGGAGGCAGACTTTTCCGCATGGTGAAAAATGGAGAAGAGGAACGAGCCCTGTATGTTATACCCAAAAGTATGAGGAAAAGTTTAGTTGTTAAATTCCATGATCTAATGGGACATTTTGCGGTTGATAGGATTTTCAACAAAATTAAGGAATTGTACTGGTTTCCTTCAATGAAGAGGTACGTTCGACGCCATGTTGCTAGGTGTGTCGAGTGTTTATTTAACAAAGTTCCCGGTGGAAAACAACAAGGCTTCTTACACCCCATTAAGCCAGGCAAGAGACCGTTTTCCATCGTACATATGGACCACGTAGGCCCTTTCGTGAGAAGTACAAGAGGTAACCAGGAACTTTTTGTGATTGTCGATAATCTGACAAGATTTGCCCGATTAAGCCCTGTAAAGAATACATCGACGCAGAACGTCCTGAAGGTAATGAAAGGTTTTGTGAATGATTTCGGACTACCCGACAAGATCATCAGCGACAGAGGGTCATGTTTTACCTCAAGGCAATTTGAAGAATTCTGTCGAGGAAATGGAATACATCATACACTGAACTCTACGAAACATCCGCAAGGAAGCGGGATGGTCGAAAGAGTGAACCGAACAGTATTGTCCACAATAGCAATCGGTATCGAGGATCCGCGACGGAAGGATTGGGACCTGAAGATCAAGGAGGTAGAGGGAGACCTGAATAATGCGGTGAACA